GCTGTACGGTGGCCTTTTTGTTTTTGCAGCATTGGATGAGCAAATCCTGCATACCTTCCACCGTTATTACCGATCGCGGTTCACAATTTCGGCGCAATCTCTTCCGTGTGTTTTCCACACTATTCTGCTTCCATCACAGTTCAACAACTCCATTTCACCCCTGTTCCAATGGTCCCACTGAAGGTTTTCATCGCCAGCTCAAAGCTGGATCAATTGCCCAAATAAACCCATCATGCGACCTTCATTTTACTCATAATTTTGCTTGCTACTCGGTCCTCTTTTAAAGCGCCAGGCACTTGTTTAGGAATGGACATTCGTTCTCAAATTTCGTGCATGAAAATATTTGCCTCCTCCGAAGCCTTCGAAAGGTGTACCAGTTTCCCACTAGTTTCTGATTTAAATAGAAAACTTACAATGATCTTACTTAGAATTTAGGATTCGCATTCAATACCTACCGATGTCCTGCTATCTGTGCAGTGCATAACACTCTTGAGGTATACAGAGGTCACAAAAGTAGGATGATTGATTTATCCGGTCATTCTTCAAGTCCGTATGCATAAGTTTCCACGAAGCCTGGTAAGCAAAACGTTGATTTGCACGTCCGAAATTCAATAAAAATCGATTTTGTCTGCATATATTGTTGTGCCCCAACATTTACAGCGGGGAGCAGCCCCTTACAGTCTCGTTTATTGCCGTGAATAATTGGGTGCATCGAACAAACGAAGTGCAGCGGGACAGAGATTTTCACGCATAGGTTAGTTTTAGGTAAAACAATTCGAGGAAATGACACACTTCGTCCCTATAAATAGACTGAGCAGCGCGAAAATATGCAAACAAAATTGCACTTGAACACACAGAAGTACAAAATCAGTGTGTAAAAAATGTCCGAATTCATCGGCCACACTGCCGCACTTCACACAACGGTGCTCCATACTTCAACAAAGCGTCGCAGGTACCAAACTCCTCTTCGGTTAACCGTGAATTCACCGAAAGTCAGTCGTACAAAAAATTAGAAACCTTATGGTTGTGTTCAAGATAATAATAAGTGACTGGGAGATGTCTGCCCTACACCGTTAGACGAGAACGCACCGGATAACCAGTGCTTCGCTTGTTGATTTTCATTAGAAAATGTGCTCAGCTAACTAGCTTCTTTGTGTTCCTCGACTTTCCGTTTGCTTTGTTGACCACCTGTTGCATTTGTAGTACACACAATCGCATATCAATTACGGGATACATTCACAATCACCACATAGCTATTTTTTGTGTATTCGTTTAACGTCACATTAAACGCTGCGAAGAATGAAAAAGATGAAGCCCTTGTTTTGTCGACACGCATACGTGAAGCCACTTCTGGTGATCCAATGGCCGCACAATGCCTTTAGCTGCAAGTGAAGTAGGGCGTTTTGTGCCGAAATGTATTTCGTTGCGTATGTCCTTAAACCACAAACCACTCCGCTCTACGTTCACACTTTTGCAGCTCGCCAAATTCCATTGTCCACAAAAAGCAAACATACCTCCGGCGGAAGTGTGATGGAATACTTTCTTAGGATCGCTGAGGCCCCGGCATGTCTAAACGAGGCTCACGGATTCACGGATCGATACCCGGGATCGAGACTTTTGCCCAAGTTGCCGAGTCGCTTTTGTTCTTGTCGGTCAGTGGCTGTCGTTCACCTGAAGTGCGCAAGTGAAAAAAGGGTGTAGCACTGCTCTTTATGTTCTCAGCGCGGGGCAGTATGCCTGCCAGCGTGAGGATTCGCACAAAGAAATGTCTAATAGTGCTTTAAACTGGGTTCTAGGAGGAGCGTGGACAACCGTCGGAGGAAGGTCATTCCGCGCACCTACCACCCGAATAGAGAAAAAATTTTGTCTAATGAATGTGTATGCTCTAAGCTTGAAAATCTTCCTCCTATGTCCCCGCCGTGTGTTTGCTGGGTCAACGGTAAAATATCTGATTGCCAAGCTTTGTTCGGACAGGGCATAAGTAGGAATTAGGTCCCCTCGGAGGCGATGATACTCCTGGGGAAAGAGATCAAGCATCGCGAGATGCGTTTCGTAGTCCACGAATTTGAGGCCGACAACCATTCTCGGAGCGGCCCGCTGGACACGCTCAATGATGGTGACGTCTTTCGTATGTCCTGAGTAAACAACTTAGTTGGTGTATTCAAGGAGCTGTCTGACGTAGGCCCCATAGAGTATTTGGAAGTCCATGCGAGTGATACGGGAGAAGGTTTGTCGGATCATCGGCAAAATGGCGAACGCCTTTTGTGCCGATTTCTCACGGTGCAGTGAGAAGGAAAAGATTGAGGAGACCCAGATACCCAAATTCTTTTTGGTGTCTATCCTCATGAAGTCTTCTGGCCCTTTCTCACCATGCATTCACTGAGTCTCCTCAAAATGACATGGACGAATTTTCATCATTCAGAGGAAGGTACCAATCGAACGACCACTGCTTTGCAGCGTCTACATCCACTTGGGGGGCATTGGCATTGGAACTCCAGGATTTTAAGTCGTCCGCAAAAGGTAGTCATGAACCTTCAAGGACATCTGGAAGATCACTGACGTAGATCAGAAACAGCAGTGGTCTCAGGACGGAGCCTTGAGTAACTCCAATGGAGACCGCCGCTGGAGAAGAGTAGGTCGAGGACATTCTCACTCGGTATGATCTATCTGATTGGAAAGTGTTGATCCAGTGTGTGATTTTCCCTTGAATCCCGCAATACTCGAGTTTGTGGAGCAGCGGGACGTGTGACACCCCACCAAATGCTTTTGAGAAGTCGAAAAATATGGCATCCGATATTAGTCCCTCGTCCCTGGCTTGGGTTAAGCATGTTTGCTACGTAGGAACGGTTTGGGAGAAATCCATGTTGAGCTGGAGATATCAGATTGCTGAAAGTAGGGTGATCTAGGATAGCTTGATTCAGAATGCTTCCCATCACCTTGCACGGCACGCTAGTGAGGCTTATAGATTATTTGCCAGTGTGGACGACGTTCCTTTCAGGATCCTTGCATGGACCTCGTCGAAACCCAACGCACAGAATGGGTCGATCTGGTGCAAGAGTTAACCGATGATCTCCACCGTGAAAACGAAGTCGGTTAAAGGCTCTTCGTAGTTCCGCCTTGACAAGAGTGTAGGTGACGAAGACGCAGGGGCTGATTATGGACACGCATAGTGTTCTCTGTGAACCTCGGATACCACTGTTGAGTCATCCGTCGATTCTCAGCTTCTGTCCCTCAAGGAGAACGCGGATGGCTTGTTTCTGCGGCGATGTCTCATGTACTTGAACAGTACGTTTTTGTTATTTCGAGCGAGGTCCAGAATGGTTATTTGTTTTCGTATGTTCCATCTGCAGAGTTCCGATTTACAGCGGTTCCGCATTTTACGAAATGCTAGCTCGTCTTTTGTATCCCCTGTAGTCAATTTTTTGAAAGAGTTGGGATCGTTTTTCCGGAAGTCGCCGAATCCTTTTTGGCAAGCTGCGGTTCATCCAAGTGCGTGCTGGGTTTTTTGGTGCGAACGTCGCGTCAGCCTCATAAGCTTTCTGGAAAATGGTCCTATATAGTTCTTCCACTGGAGCTGGTCTCAGTGTGACTTGTTCAGGAAAGATGCGCATTTCTGAGAAGTCTGCACGGCAGAAGCCTCGAACCCACGTTTGAGGTTCGGGATTCCTGGCCCAATAGCAGATGAAATCAAAGGTCAGCACACAGTGGTCGCTATGTCGCAGTGGAGCGTTAATTGTTACCTGATCAACGAAGTGTCTTTCGTTGGTGATGACCAGATCCAGGGGGATGGTATTTTCCTGCGCGGCATCTGGTGTGTGCAGTGACATGTTTAGTCCAAGCACTCTGTCGAACGACTTCGATCAGCGCCGCTGTAAATAGTCCGCTTTATCCGACCCGCTGGAGCTTCATCCAGGAGGCCTTTGGGGCGTTGAAGTCACCTACCAGCAGGAGATAAGTGAAGTGGTAGTTGAAGGAGTGTTGCTCAAGGGTATTTTATGAGGAATTGGTCATCTTCAGGGGGACTAGAGGGGTAGACCACACCGAGAGGTAGGGCATCGGACACGCGCAGCGGGATTCGGACCCACAGTGCATCGCAAAATGGTGCAGGGGTAGTGTCAGAGTGGACAATCGGGATTGATATGGTCGCATGTAAGTACCGAGCAACCCCACCTGCCCGCCCTCGTTTTGAGCCGCCCCGAAAAATAGGGTAACCCTCTATCGAAATCTCCGCATCAGAGACAGCTGGTGTCAGGTAGGTCTCTGTGAGTGCGATTATAGGCGGTTGTTCAAGGCATGCTCACCGTTTAACATCGCCTAGTTTGTTGAAAAGGCTGAGGCAGTTTGTGAACGAGCATTTCAACACCGTTTCCACTGCCTTTGAGGCCGAGGAACTGATAGTTGAGTGACCACAGTGGTTAGCAGACTAAATAGTTGTGCACCGGGTTTGGGTCCAAGGCTCCGAAGGGGTCTCTGGGGCGATGTTCGTCTGCTTCCTGTCTTCGTGGTTTCTGGGGTTGGTTTTTGCTTGAGGTTATTTCGTTACGTACAGCCCGGTTTGCTTGGGCATTTTGGCTTTGGGGGACGGGGTTTTCTTCCCCGTGGGCGAAAATTTCGACGGTTGCCGTTTGTAGCCCTTCCAGCTACTTCTTTTTGGCAACCAGATTTGCTGTTAATCAAAGATTTGCGGCAAGTATTCGCCTTCCTGGATTTTTGGGTATTTTGGCGCGATTAGACCGGACAAGTGTCTCTGTGAGGCCCTGAGCGCTGGGTGTTGGCACCAAGAGGTAACGATTTTGGTGGCGCTCCCAAGAGGCTCGTTTTCGCGTTGGACTGCTACTTGAAGCCAGTCAGCAGCTTTCTAATCTGGCGAATTTTATGTGGCTTGTTTGGCTGCAGTCACACGTCTTTCGTGTTTGTGTGGACACCCGATCCGCCGGCGATCAGCGTGTTCAACAGGATGTACGAAGGATTTTCCGGATGGCTGTGGTCATGTTTATGGTTTAGGTTGTGGGGATCCTGCACGACGGTTGTGTCCACAAGCAGAGTGGCCGCTTTCGACGGAGTGAAGCGGAGGTCGGCTTCGCTCCTTGTCCCCGCACACCTGACTCAGTACATTTCAGAGTCTGTGGCTTTGTTGAGGAGCGCATGGCTGCAGCTGTGTTGTCTGTTACGGAGATAAGCGTTGATAGCTCCACGTACTTTGGGCGCCGCTGGCATGTGAGGTTTGCCTCCTCCGGGTCATCACTGCCTTTGGTGGGTGAGAGGCCTGTGGTGGTCGAATAAAAACTGCTGTCCGGAGACGCAGCTGGTTTCGTCGGCCCGCTTTCGGAAGCACAGTTGGGTATGACTACAATCGGGTTGGTCATGAGTTTGGGGTCGGAAGAACTGGAGGATCAAACGTCCGGACTAGTACTCTGTGCTCAATTGCCGGTTTCTTTCAGTTCATCAGGGTAGCTTTGGAAAATTCAATTCCATCGTGAGAATACTGAGCACCCACCTCTGCAGGCATACCACAACAAGTTCAAAGTCCAGTGCACGCAGAAAATTTGGAAGATTAATTAACTGAAACAAATCCCGACAAAGTAGAGATGTAATAGGGTGATTTTTATTCACCATATATGGAACAAAATGCAAACTTCTGCCGTTAAAAGTTTTCGCCTAGTAGCAAGTAAATGGTTTTCAAGTTATACTGCAGTGCAGCCCAAAGAAACTTATAAATATGAACTGCAAGACATAAGAACTGTGCGTAAAATGAGCAGGAGGAACAGCAACATGTTTGTGAGAATTAAATTTCGTACTTATATCCGAATAACCAGGCGAACCAGAAATCCATAATTGAACGCAGCGTAACTACCAGCACGTATGTATTGGAATTGGCGAATATGTACAGCATATGGAATATTAAAACAAGAGAATAATGAATAGAGCAACGAATAGAGTAGCAGTCATGTTCATCACATCCGCCACACCTTGAATGAGCGTGTGGACGTTTATAGTCCAGTGGTGGTCTTGACCGCAATCTTTCGGATCCTATCGGAATGAAAACTTCAGACTCTTCACAGGTTGTCCGTTCTTCAGATACGTTTTGATCAGATACCACAAGATCATCTACAAAGGACTCATTAGTATTTGAAGCAGCAGGAGTGCCGTTTACAGACTGACCTCTGCTATTGAACTCAACCTGGTCAATGTGTCTTCGATGACAAGAGAGATCATCCAAATCGAGAATTGTGACCATTTGATTGCCATCTGATGAAAGTACTATTCCTGTAGCAGGTCGTAAATCATTACCCTTGTAAAATTTAACATCAGTCGTTTTGGCACAGTCAAGACTTGTGTGCAACGAATGAGATTTAAATAGAAGCGCGGGACTCTTCCCAGAAACGGAATGGACGGCGTTCCTGTATTGCATTAGAAAATTATCAATCCCACGGTCCAATTCCACAAAAGTAGTGGGAGAGAGTGGAATAATGGCAGACTTTAGTGTTCGGACAAAATTTTCAGCAAGTCCATTCGACTGGGGATGTCGCGGAGCAGTAAACAGATGTCGACATCTAAGACCCTTCAACCGCTCCTCGAGGAATTTTGCAGTGAAGTGTGTGCCGTTGTCAGTGACCAAAACAGTTGGTACACCTTCATGGCCGAAGACTTTTCTCAGTGCTTGCTGAGGGAATTCGGTACTTGGAGACGTAGTTGGAAAAGCTTCAGGTCAACGTGGATATGCGTCAATAAGGATTAAGGCATAGTATTTACCGATGAAAGGACCACAGTAGTCAGCATGAACTAGTTGAAACGCTTGACGAACAGGCTCATGTAAGCCAAATGGACCAATTCGTCTCCTGGGCATTTGCAAACCCCGAATAAAGTCTCGTGCCCCAAATCCATCAACACGTCACTTCACAGATCGCAACCCTTATCCGATGGCTCAAATTTTGGGAAATGTTAGTCTTGTGGACGAAATCATTCCAAATATTTATGCCCTCACAGACGAGCAAAGTGTTTTGTCTGCGTTAAAACGGGACACATTCAACTTGTCTGTAAGTCCAAGAAAGTGTCGCTTAACGTCTGGCCCAAATACTGACGTGGAGGCATTATCTAAAGATATTTCTACTCTTTCTCTATCTGTTTTGTCCCAAAATTCGTCGCATGTTTTTAAAACGTTGATATCCGCTTCTGGTCAAAAGCATGACTTTATTGTTGATACTGGTAGTGCTGAGTCAATCATTCCACAATCAGCTCTAACTGCATTCTACCCCAGTGCCGTGATAGTACCTACAGATGTTAACATTCGCGGCATCACTGGACATTCTGTACCTTTAGTTGGCCGTTGCACGATCCCTGTGAGGTTATCCCAAGGTACCTCTATCGACTGTAATTTCTTGGTTTCAACGTCGGGACCATCGATTGTCGGACTCAAAGTTCTACGCTCACTGCAAACCAGTATCACCTTACTGACTTCTGTGAATGAAAATGAACTCAAACCACTGATTCTGAAATGTTCTAAGGCTACAGGTGGCATGCAAATTCCCAAGGTGAGGCTCGAAATTACAGGAGAGCCCATATTTCTCAAGAGGCGGATTATTCCAATTGACTTACGCGAGCCTGTTCGTCAAGCTTTAAATTCAATGTGTGCGAAAGGAATACTGACTCCTTTGGAGTCATCAAACAGGGCAACTCCGATAGTTACCCCACTGGAGGCTGATGGTATTACTCCGAGAATATATGGTGACTACCGCCTTACGCTAAATACGCGGCTACTACAACGTACATGCACCATTGAAGAGCCAGAAGATGTACTGTGTCGTTTATCAGGTTCAAGTGTGTTTTCAAAAATCGATTTAAAAGATGCCTATCTTCAAATACCGCTGGACGAAGCCTCTAGTAACCTTACTGTGATCAACGCACCCTTTAAGTTATTCCGATACAATTTCCTTCCCTTTTGTTTGAACGTTTCACTAGCTGTATTTCAGCAAGTTATGAATACTATTGCAAAAGATTTGGAAGGTGTTGAGACGTACCAGGATGACGTCATTGTGCACGCTGCTGACAAAGCTACCCATGATATGCTTTTGTTGTCTTTACTGAAGAGATTTTCTGAGTTCAATGTAGCTATTCATCCTGATAAATGCACTTTTGGTGTCCCATCATTTTCATGCCTTGGCTACATTGCGGATGGCAGCGGTTTTAACCCTGATACAGGACGCCTATCCCCTTTAGTTAATGCGCCATCACCGACCAAGCTACAAGAACTGCGTTCAGTTCTAGGAGCACTCTAGTATTACTCCCGTTTCATTCCTAATTTCGCCAAACATGCAAGTTGTCTGTGTAACGTTGGAACGGTATCTCCGAGTGACGCGTAATACCAGAACCTCCGGGTAGGCAAAACAAAGTCGGAGCTGGGTTTCTATACGGTACTATTATGGTAAGAGATTCACAATTTGTACAAACCTCGACAGTAGATACGCGTCCAAAACAAATAGTCCGCTTGGACCTCAAAAGTGCAAAGCAAGGGAGCAAACAGGCTCCAACGTGCGACAGTCACACGTGCAAATTCAGATACAAATGACCGGATGACCTCAAGGCCAAATGGGTGAAGTGGTAAGGACAAACAAACGCCAGTTCAGATATACACACCAAACACAAAAATGGGGCGG